TCATAATACCTTTGCAAAGCTCTAAAGCTTTGTTGAATCCCTCGCCTGCAGTCTTCCGACACCAGCTCTTCCACTCCTTGTCATGGGAAAATGTGGCTACAATGAGTCTTAATGTCATGTGTACGCATTGAGGTCTGTGTCATTTGGTTTGCCTTCTGTGCTCTAAGTACAGAATAGCAGCAAATCCTCAAGAATCAGAGCTTATCTCTGTGTCCTAAATTTTGCCCAGAGAGAGATAAAGGGGTAGAAGCCTACTCACAAAGCACCTCAGGACAAGCAAGGCCTGGAAGAGTTGCACCGCTGGTCCCCAGAAACCTACACACATAAGAAATCTGCGCACAAAAGTCTCCAGGGAGAAAAAACCCGCGGGTACCTGCGTGACGCGGGCAGGTTGCTCCAGCAGCTGTAGCTGGAAAGCTCCGGCTCACCAGCACAAACGCCCTGACGTCCTTCCCCTGCCTCTGTACCACAGCCTTGGGGATGATTTAACACTTGGCATGTTGGCTGTTCGGTTCACATCCCATTTGGGAATCCTCTTATTGTTTTTTGAATCGCTCCCAGATCCGCACATATGTTAACCTTTTCCTTTAGGGAGGAGTGGAGTTTCACATACACAATGAAAATTGCCTGTGCCTGTGAAGGCAGCTACAAAGCCCCTTTTCTCACTCCCAGGCCCGCACTGTGAGAATACGGTGCTTGTCTGGACTTGGCTTATTCATCATCATGGATTATATCACTCCAATCACAATGCATCAAAGTGCTTTCCCTCCCTCACAAGGAGCTATGACGCTTAATTAATTGACACAGAGGTATTATGTGTCATTGCAAAATATTATAATTTACAGTATTCCATTCAATAATTAACAAATACATCAGGCAACAAGTAAAACCAATCTCAAAAATGAGCAGTTAAATTTTTTTTAATTACATCTACTGAACAAAATCTGCCCCTAAGCAATGCACATGTAATCCCACTGAAGTCAGTATGGTTGTACAGAATACACTAAAATAAAAATAGTCTGTAGTTATCATCGATATTGCAGCAATACTTACAGTCCCCCACTAAGTTTAGGGACTCCTGCTTTATTTAGAGTTGTAAACATGAACAATAAAGGTAAACTAAGTTGAACTGAGAACACAGCATGGAAGGAGACATGTAGCATTGGGACTTACACAACACACAAATAGAAAGATTGAATCCTAGTCTGATAGGTGCTGTCTGACACCACGTTTTAAAATAGAGCCAAGATTCTCTAGTAACAGGACTCCAGGCAATGATGCCTTAAGAACTCCTGATACCTGTGTGACAAAGTCTGAAGAGTTGGCAGCACTGGAGAAATTCAGAATGCATAAGGATAACTGGACTGAACTGTCTGAACATTGATCTGGATGCATTAGGGCCTACTTCATTAAAGAAACCTCAGAGTGACATATAAGAAAAGACATCTTCTGCTCTCCATTTCTGCATTCAACTTCCATCCAAATCACCTCCCTCAGCTAACACTTAACTATATAAGGACATGTTGTTCAGCCATAGATACAAACCAGGTGTAGTAACTCCAACATTTTTGCAAATTAATATAGCACAGTTATCACGGGGAAGCTGGATACTACTTCTGCAGGCAGATCTCATGTGTCAGAGCTATGAGCCATTGTTTTCCGAGAGAAAACAGCTCATTATTCGTAACATCCCTTGGCGAAATCTTTGCTGAACTCTCCCTCTCCCCTTCCGAGGCCACAGGAGGGCTAGATAAAACGCAGCTTCTTCTCCTTGACACGGACAAGTGTATGTGCATATTTTTGTTCTTCCACTGCTACTTGGGCTGGGCACAGGTTGCATTTTAAAAACTAAAGCCTGATCCTGCTACCCACACACAGAATAGAGGCTTGCTTTGATTCCAGAAAGGCTGTTCAGAGAGTAAGACAGCAGACAGCTTGAGTAAGGGTGGCAAAATTCAGCTCCTAATTATTAGATTAAAACCTTGAAACAGTTGTCATGTATGAAGGGACAAAGTAGAATTTGGCAAACAGGAAGGGAAAAAACAAATCTTCTCACAATGATAAATAATCTCTGAAGACAACCTTGTCATTTTTTGAAAGCATCTCAACAGTTCCCCGTTTTTATTTTTTTGGTCACTGCTTATCAAAATTTGCATGGCTAGTTAGTGGGTTAATTTAATTATGAGCAGCATTTATGAACAGCCTGATGGGGGATCTGCAGAGGGCAATAGAATCTGTTCTTGAATTATGAAATTGCACACACACACACATCTGGAAGCCGTCATGGGACAGATCGCTGTCTTGTAAATGCGTGTTGAGTGTTACAATATTTTACTAAGCACTCCCAATCTGTCAAGGTTTACAGGAGAGTAGAGACTGGGAACATTTGGGATCATTTGTGGCTTAGAGCCGTTAGCTACTTCCACCCACTTATTGTGACGTTATTAATAGCAAAATAATCTAAAGAGCAGAACTTGGCTTACTCAAGACCTTAGATAATAGAAGTGATTTTCGCTAAGGGCCAAAACCAGGGAGCCAGGACCGAGCTGAATAATGGACTATGCTGGGTAGCATAGCCTTATTTTTGGCTGAACTGGTGGTAACTTTGTGCGGACTCTCTTCCTCAGAGGACTTACCTGCAGACCTAGCCTAGCCCCGTTGTTTCACGTCTGTGTAAGAGGTGGCACATGGT